CTCCCAGAGTCCCTCCTTGCTCCATCCAATGTCCATGATGGGACTTCCTGGGGACCCCACCAGGGCCCAGCCCTGGGACTCCAACCTTATAGCAGCCCAGTTTACAAACACTAAGTGTGGTGGGGACCCCCGGAAGGGGTCACTTTGACCACTTGTAAGTCACGGCCTAGAGAACGCGGGGCTCCCAGGCAAACACAGAGGAGGATGCTTTGGGCGGAGAGGAGGGCGGCAACCTCCCGGTCGTCTTTGCATGCAAGTGTTGGATAGAGTGGGGAGGAAGCTACAAACGGCATCAACTCGGGAAGACTCCTGGGCTTGAAGGGGAGGGCTGAAGCCCTACCTCCAGGGCTGAGGCTGGGAGCCCAGGCCCACAGCCAACCTGTGGGGCAGCCGTGGGAGAGGAGGGCGGCGGCGGTGGCGGCGGCGGCGGGGGCTGCACCAGCAACCAATGCCCAAGTCTACAAGTTTAAAACAGTCCCAAAGGGCTGGAGCTGGGGGCTTCCTGCCCGGAAGAGGTGGGAGCAAGGCTCTATCTCTCGGACTTGACCCGGTAGCGGAGCACAAGGTACGCCAGCAGTCGGAGGGCAAGGAAGAAAATGCCCAAGACCAGGAAGTCCATGTAGAGTTTAGCCTCCTCCACATCCAGCTCTCGCAAGATGATCTGTGGATCCCGGAACGGGCACTGTTCGTCTAAGCAGGTCAGGTGTCCTCGCTCCATGCCGTAGATGGTCAGGATCAGACCTTCAAAGCCATACCTAGGCAAACAATGGCATCAGAGCAAGACACAGAGCACAGGACCCCTGTCCCCCAAGCAGTCACCAGAGCCCAGCCACAGTGAGGGTGCAGGGGCAGACATCAGACCTAGCACATCCCCCTGCAGAGCGGGGCGGGATCTCCTGCGGGGAGGGAGACACACACACGCACCTGACATAGGAGAGGTAGGAGCTCCACTGCAGGTAAGTGGGAATGGTCTTGAAACTGACAAAGAAGCCGGAGAACAGGAGGACCGGGATGGCAGTGACCGGGCCCACAAAGGTGGCCACCTGGAGGAGAGCAGAGAGGGGCCCCGCTGTCACAGGGTGACCACAGTGCCATCCGCCCCTGGATGGCTCCCATGAGACACTCCCCCCTCCCCCCGCACCTGTGTGACAACTTTCCCACCTGCAGGGAGTTGGAGGCAGCGCCAATCAACAGTCCCAAGGACTGGGCTACTAAGGCGGTGGCTATGGCCAAGGCTGAGAAGAGCAGGAAGCGGCTGGTCTCAGCTGGCTGGCCTGTCATCCAGTACACGATGCTGCAGTACACTACCGGGCACACCACCTGGGGAGCAGCCACAGAGGAGCTTAGGGACCTAAGTCCTCCCACCGCCTCCCCGGAGAGGGAGTGCTCCCAGGGCTCCTCTCCTCCGCCTCCACTGCCTCCACTCTTGTTCAGGCAACTTTTTAGACTGACACACGGCCCCTTCCTCCCTGACTACATCTCAGATAGCCTCGTTTTGCTGCTCGGTGACTCCTCCCACCTCTGAGTCCCTACAGTTCTTCCCATCAAGACCAGTGTGTGTGTGTGTGTGTGTGTGTGTGTGTGTGTGTGTTACTGTCAGACATGGGTGTAAAAGCAACAAACACTCCTAACCACTGAGCCATCTCTCCAGCCATATACATGCATACATATACATACATATAATATACATATACATATGACTTGTTTTGCCAGTCGGTAGTGGTTCACGCCTTTAATCCCAGCACTCAGGAAGCAGAGGCAGGAGGCTCTGTGAGTTGAGGCCAGCCTAGTCTACAGAGGGAGTTCCAGGACAGGCACCAAAACTACACAGAGAAACCCTGTCTCAAAAAAATAAACAACAAAAAGCCTTGTTTTTATTTATGTGTATGTGTGTATGTCTCTGTATATATATATGCCACCTATGAGCAAGTATCCATGGAGGCCAGAAGAGGGCGTTGTATCCCCTGCAGGTTGAGTTACAGGTGGTAGTGAGCCACTTGATGTGGGTGTGGGGGAACTGAACTCTAGTCCTCTGGAAGAGCAGCAAGCATGTTTAACCTTTAATCACTGAACGGTTTCTCTAGTCTCCTTATATTATTAAAGAATTAACTCTCTGGCTGGAGAGATGGCTCAGGGGTTAAAAGTGCTGACTCTTCTTCCAGAGGACCTGAGTTCAATTCCCAGCACCCACATGGCAGCTCACAACTCTCTGTAACTCCAGTTTCAGGGGACCCTGACACCCATGGCAAAAACACAAATGCACATAAAAATAAAATAAAAATATATTTTTTTTAAAAAAAAGAATTAACTCTCTGTAGCAGAGAGCTTCGTTTCCCCTTGAGGCTGCCACCTTTTGGATACAAAGAAGCAGACATGTGGGCTGGGCAAGTCTAGAGATCTAAAGTACACAGCAGAGACTCTAGTTACTGAGATACAATATATCTATATTTTTTGTTAAATAAGCATATCTTAGATGCTCTTATCATAAAAATAAGGTGATGATGGGCTTACTAATTTGCTTCATTTTGCTTACTATACCTAACCTTTAACATCAGTTGTATATCTCAAATAGAAGTGATAACTTCTTAGCACTTGGGAGGCTGAGACAGGGGGATCGCCACGAGTTCAAGGTCAGCTTGGTCTAGATGGTCAGTTCCAGTACAGCCTGGGCTTCAAGACTGAGGCCCCACTTCAGAAACCCCTAATAAAATAAAATAAATGATATTTTTTCCTTGGCAGTGCTGGGAATGGAACCCCAGATATCATGCATGAAGGGCACGCACTCTAGTCCCATCCCTCCGTGCCCTGTGCTACCAAGTGAGACCTTGTCTCAAAACACACACACACACACACACACACACACACACACACACACACACACAC